TTAATTATATCTTATCTATGTAGGGATGCCTTGTTCGTTACTAACGAAAAAAACTAAATTTTTTTTTTTAATCTAACTTCCCAACCCAATTTGTGTATTTTTGGTAACCTCCAAAATTTAGTTTTTAAAAAGAAAATTCAGTTCTAATTTTTTGACGAAACTTTTATTGAAAGAAAGTATTTTTCAAACTACGAATTGAGAAGGACGGGGTTTGTTTACTCTTCTTAAATTCTCTTCTGATTCTTAAACATCCATGAAAAGCCGTCTGCTTATTGGTTATGTGCTCCAGTTGTACACAATGGAACCTATTGTAGAAAATATCGCCTTTAATAAATTACTGCACTGCACTCTCTTAGCTCTGGTTCTGCTTTTTTAATGCTAACAAAGGCAGGGTGGTTCCTGGTTTATCTTACTTGGCTATAAAGATGGATAGATGGATAGAAGGATGGATATACAGTATTGGATAATGGATATCAATACACTGCCCAGTTTACACATGAATATATTGAACAACAACAACTAAACATTTTTTAAATTCTTGTCTCTTAAAAAAGTGCAAATCATGAAAATTTTAGGATTTTAAAGGGACTGTAATCGTAATTTCAAGCGACCCTCCATGCAACGCTTGTAATGTCTGATTCACAACGGTACCAAACCTTTATCCGATAGTGTGAATGATATAGTTGTTTTTCTAAGTTTAAAAGAATTTAATTCTAATTATTTATATACGTAATAGTTTCCTGTGCGCAAGTCAAATTTGAAGAAAAATGACAATTGAAAGAATTCTTGTTTCAAAATTATAAACATTACTATCGAATTCATACTTGATCAGACAAAGCTTTAAAGGGTACCGAGTGAATCGGGCATTGCTATCATTGAATTAAGGATCATATTAAATTACGCTTACAGTCCCTTTAACTATTAGTTATTATGCCTTATTAAATGTGAAATATATTTTATCATTCCCAACTTTTCACATAAGCTTTGCCATCTTTATCTATCTATCAATCTACCTTGATTTTTGGTTCAATTTGCCTCAAATTTTGATTTGGGAACTTGGTAAGACCACAGGATTGTTCTTAGCTTGGTTTAAAAATGCTAAGTTGATTGCACTCAATACAATGAAGATTTTGATTTCAATCTTTATTTCTTCAAACAACATGGATACACACAAACAAAAAAACAAAGAAAAGCTGCCATTTATCAGCTTCTATTTGTTTACTTGTAAACTTGTAAATTGAAAAAAATGGTCAGAAATCAAATATTAGGTAGAAAAGTTGTTTTCATTGTATTGATATATATGCTGACCACTGTATTGATATATATGCTGACCATTGTATTGATATATATGCTGACCACTGTAGGTTAACTTTTATTTTCAGGCATAGCCGAGTTCCAAACCAATGATACATATATAAAAATAGAAATCAGTCTCTTTATTTAAAGTGTATGCCGGCAACAAGACGAGTTTTCCAGGCTCTAATTACTTGTATTAGAAAGCCTTGTCAGTTTTTATTAAATTTTGCCAAAAATAAATAGTCGAATAATTGTAATTCTCGTTCAATCACTGCACAGGGAAACTATGTACAATTCATCAAATCTAATAGTGGATCATTAATCCGCGAAAACCAAACAACCAGCAAAACAAGAAAACATGGCCGACCCAACACAACAACTAGAGACCCCTACTAAACATTAAGATAAAGAATATACACCTCGAGATTTAGGTCACAAACATTTCTTGTGTCGGGGGATAAAAAGGCGTAAAATTAGTCCAAACCCTCAAACCTTGCAACATCTTATTCAGCATGTTTATTTACAATCAATCTGCATATATATATAAATCTAAATACAAATTGATGTGCAAAACACCTTTGAAATATGAAGACAGTACTATCAGAATAAAACTACTATGCGACTATGCCTGTTATAATTCTTTAAATCGGCCTTTTGAAGGAGATCCAAGCTTTGAAGCGGATTCAATCCACTGTCATTAGAATGTCAAAGGACCGAGGAATAATAAATAGAAAGCTAAACAGTGCTAAAGGTATATAAATGTGCACAATGATGAACCGTATTTAAAAGGGGTTTAGGATCAAAAATATGTTTATGTCGGTCCAACAATAAAAAATGCAGCAAAAAAACTTATCAGATCAAAAGTTTAAAAGCACAGTTGTATCAACAGTTTCTTTAAATGTGAAAATAGTATTTTGGTATGCTCTGCAATAGCTATATGTGCGTATTTAAAGGGACTGTTCACTTATTTGGATAATTTCAGGGTAAACTAAACAGCCTATTCGCTCTTGATTGGTAATAGTCTTACTTTTCAAAGACAACTGTGGCCGGAGAAAAAGTCGATTTTTTGTTCAGAGTTCGAGCGTAAATGGGACGGTCCCTCTCTATAGACAATATTTGATTTTTTTTCAGTAGCAGCAGCCCAATAACATTTTAATTTATTATTTTTTAATGTCATTATGTGTTTGTTATTATGTACTATAAAAATATGAAAACTTTTGATATTTGAGTAAGCAAGAAATTTACGTTTTAAAACGTATTATTTTTATTACGTATTAAAACATGTAAAATGTGTATACAAAGACGAAGTCTCTACGACAATCAATTAATCATTACTCGTATTTTGGTTCGTAGATTTTGTAGATTTTGTTACCGTATGTGCACAACTTTTCATTTTTCATGCCGCGTTCAATTCAGTTTTTTACACAGGCAATACACAATTTTGAATGCGATAAAATAGTGTTATTTTAGAAATAGAACGTTATAAAACAAACAAAAAATCAAAAATAATGACATTTACAAAAACGATTAGATACAAGAGTTTAATTTTATATTCGAAATTTATTTTGATTCACAACATATACTGAAAAAAAACACCAATTAGTGTCTATAGAGAGGGACCGTCCCTTTGCGCTCGAATTCTGAACGAAAAATCGGCTTTTTCTCCGGCCACAGTTGTCTTTGAAAAGTAAGACTATTACCAATCAACAGCGAATAGGCTGTTTAGTTTACCCTGAAATTACCCAAATAAGTGAACGGTCCCTTTAAAACTATTTTGGTATGCCCTGCAGAAGCTATACGTGCGTATTTAAAACTATTTAGATATAACCCGCAATAGATATATGTGCGTATTTAAAACTATTTAGGTATGCCCTGCAATAGCTATGTGTGCGTATTTAAACTATTTTGGTATGCCCTGCAATAGCTATGTGTGCGTATTTAAACTATTTTGGTATGCCCGTGTGCGTATTTAAACTATTTTGGTATGCCCTGCAATAGCTATATGTGCGTATTTAAACTATTTTGGTATGCCCTGCAATAGCTATATATGCGTATCTAAAACTATTTTGGTATGCCCTGCAATAGCTATGTGTGCGTATTTAAAACTATTTTATGCAAAAATGATTTCTGAACACTTGTAAATATCAGGAGACTGAAAGACATATGAAATTGAAATGTTCATTGAAAAAATTCCTGCATACGCCCCTGGTTGGAGTGTGTCATAACCAATCCTGCATTCGCCCCTGGCCAAGGATGTAATGCAAGGAAACTTATTTCAGAGGTGTACGCATCTTTTGTACTGCAGTGTACTGTCTGTGGGCGGTAATGTAAACACAAGACGGATGTCGAAGCCTGCCATGGGATCCATCTTTCATATAAATAATCAATAAAATATTCTGGTCATAGGAAAATATTAAGTGAATTATCAAAATTATCAAAATTATCAAAATATAATGCTTTTAACCCCCTCGGATAATAAACGAACAATGATGCATCTATTATTGTTTACAAATTCCGCCCAGAAAGAACTGGTTTTAATATGTACGCAGTGAACGCAACTGCAATTAACTTTCCTTGCATTACATCCTTGCCTCTGGCTATAGTGTGTTATAAAACAATTTAAATCTAAGAAATAGAAATAAATGAGAAACTCGAGAGCCCCATTACCTTTTTTCAAATATGTGTTAATAATAGTAATAAAAGTAAAATCATGAAAATCCTCTAATTTATTAAATTTATTGAAAACATCAACTGTCTTTTCCGGAGAATTTAAAATTTCAATTTTAAGTCAAATGTCATTTTTTTAGTTATACATAAGCTTGTTATGCATAAGTCATGCATAATAACTGCACACCTGTTGTAAATTTTCATTCAGATTTGCATAACTTTGCAGTAATTTCTAGACTGCTGAAGGCAAATAAGAATTTTTGTAAAGTTGTTTTTAACTATTGAAATGTTAAGGTCAGCTCATTTGAAAAATTGTGGTATACACGTTTTTATTAGTAGATTTTTACAGGTGAGACGAGCAGTTTTAAAGTGGAAGACATTGTTCGTTTTAAATCGTGGATATTTAATTTTGATTGAACACCCACTAACAAGTATACATGTGTACACACCATAAAGTACATGGTGCAGCCACCATAAAGTACATGGTGCACCCACCATAAAGTACATAGTGAACACACCTTAAAGTACAAGCAACTTAACTACTTTTAATAATTCTTCAAGAATAAATTTATAATTTTTTAATGTTTTATAACTTACACACTTGACCAGGAAGTTACGATTTAAAGGGTTTATAGCGAAAATCGGAAATATGACTCGTATGAATGATGTAACACAAGAAATTGTATCTACACTGTAGATAGATAGATAGATAGATAGATAGATAGATAGATAGATAGATAGATAGATAGATAGATAGATAGATAGATTAAATGATAGTTAGATAGATAGATAGATAAATAGATAGATAGATAGATAGATAGATAGATAGATAGATAGATAGATAGATAGATAGATAGATAGATAGATAGATAGATAAATAGATAGATAGATAGATAGATAGATAGATAGATAGATAGATAGATAGACAGATAGATAGATAGATAGATAGATAGATAGATTTTCATAAATACAAAATAATGAGGGTTCGACCAATATGATTAAAGTGATTTTGATATTTCTGATTTTAATGTTTTCAGATCTTGTTGTTGATGTTTACAGTGATCTCATGAACATGGCGCAGACCTTGAACTCTAATCCAGGTATTTAACCCCCCCCCCCTTTGTTCTGTTTTTGTTTTCTGTTTTCTGCAAATCTGTAAATCTGAATACTAAATTCTATTGTGTTTTCAATATCCTGTAATGTATGTTCTGTATTCTATATTTTTTGTGTATTCTATATATTGTGTATTCTGTAATAGGGTGTATTCTATTTGCTGCATTATTCTTTACATTCTGTATTCTGTATTCTATTTTCTGTTTCCGTACATTCTATATTTTGTATTCTACATTCTGTGTTCTGCATTCGCTTTTCTGAATTCTAAATTCATTTTTTTCTATCGTTTTTAATTATCTCCAATCAGTCTCCAATTGGAACGGAGAGCCTAGCTGACCCCTCCCCAATGCCGAAAAAGGTTTACCTCCCCCCCCCCAACAAAAAAAAATTACACATTGGCAAAATCCTGTATACGCCCAGCCCTGTATATATTCTATGCAATGTATTGTATACTTTTGTATCTATATCTAGATAATCAAAATAAAGTTTCTTATTTTTCTTGCTGAGTATGAATTATATATTTATCACATATATATATGTATATCTGAGTTTATTATATTATTCCCTGGGGAAGGCCCCGTGAAGGCCTCGGGATGGATTGGGCCCTGGAATAATTTTTTTTACAAACAACAAATTTATTCGCTTTACTGACAAAAATATCACAAGTTCTTGGTTTCGCGAACCTGTCCAGAAAATTCTACAAAAAAAAATATTTTTTTCCAGGGCCCAGATTCCCCGTGGGTGGGGGAATGTGTCTAGGCCCAGTCTAGACTTTGTTGTTACGCATAAGCTGCGTATAGACCATTGCGTAGACCACTCAGTAATATTTATTCGGAACTTGGAAACTTGTTCTTCCTTTGTCTGAAACCAGACCTATAATGTACGTTTTTAATCTCGTGATCAGGTTATTGATCTCCATCTTATGCAGACTTTAGGATAAATTTAATCCCTCTTTTATATCCCGTGGTGGGCATGCCCTGCATGGATAACTATGATGAAGGGATCAAACATTGATAAAAGTGTCCACATTAAATATCTAGATTAGGCATTAAAGATTTAAAGATTAACGATACTCCACACAAATGTTCCGATTTATAGTTAAAGTGTAAGATAAAAAAACTTTCTCTTGAAAAGTCAATAGATAGATAAATTTACAATTTTTAAGTTAATTCTAGAAAATTCACTCGGTCCCGCCGAGTTTCTCAACCAAGTTTGAGGAAAATCGGTCAAGAGGTTTCTATGTTATACTCGGCTACAAACAACCAACCAACAGACATTCAGAGATTAATACCATATGTAGATAGATATAAATATAATAGTTATAGCATGTGGAGAACTAGATATTGATATGGTTTGTGCCTTTGATAATCAAATTATTTTTTCTGAAAAGATATTTATAAAAAAAATCTTATCCTCATTTGGAAACAAATAAGCTTGCTTTTTTCTCTTTTGGGCGTTAAATGATCACTTGAAGGTGTCCAATGTAACAAAGCCGTACAAGGAATTCCACAAAAAATGTTTTCCGAGGGTGAGATAATAACATTATATGTCAACACTTTGTCCCACAACTGTTAGTTCAGTTTATGATGCACACAAAAATTCTCTTTTAGATGAATTAGTTATTCCCCCCCTCCCCATTCCCTTACNTGCTGAAAGAGTCGGAATGAAGTGAGACCTGATGAATATGGCGATAAATTAATTCTATCAGAAACTGATTACGTTTGATTAGAAATAAGATATTCAGATCCGTATTCACACAGTTTTATACGTTAAAGAAAGGGGACTAAGAGGGGGGGGGGTTAAAATGTTTTTTTGTGGTTTAATCAATTATTCTGATTTTTAGTTTTCACGAACAAACAAAATTGATTGCAATTCTACAAAGTCTCAGGAAATATACACGTAATATTAAAATTTAAAAGTATAACATTTATGAATGAAAGAAAAAACTGCCTTTGATTGTGTTAAATTATAAATGAAATATTTTCTTGATATATTCCATATATGTGAACCTATACCCAGCTGACAGAAATTAATAAGCTTTTTATTTCAAAAACTTTAAACTTTTCAAACTTCACACATCGTGACATCACAAGCTCTCACTTGGTATTGATAATCTATATAGCACCTATTTAGAATTGTACCTTACCTTAACGAATAGCTAGGCCACTATTTTTTTTGATTAAAAATATCTTACATACAAAAATCTAAGTTCGCTAGCGAGAAAATAAGCAACAAATATAAATTAAAGATGAATTGAAGCAAATATGCATTCTGAAGCAGTGTGAGCAAATATAAAGCAAATATGCATTCTGAAGTAGTGTGAGCAAATATAAAGCAAATATTCATTCTGAAGCAGTGTGAGCAAATATAAAGCAAATATGCATTCTGAAGCAGTGTGAGCAAATATAAAGCAAATATGCATTCTGAAGCAGTGTGAGCAAATATAAAGCAAAGATCAAGCAAATATGTTTTCTGAAGCATTGTGTAGCAAATATAAAGTAAATATGTTGCAAATATGAAGCAAATATTTATTTTAGCATTGTGTAGCAAATATAAAGCAAAGATAAAGCAATTATGCATTTTGAAGCATATTTTGTAGCAAATATTAAGTAAATATGTTGCAAATATGAAGCAAAGATGAAGCAAATATAAAGTAATTTTGTTGCAAATATGAAGCAAAACTGTAACAAAAACATGTAGTAAATATGTAGCAAATAAGTAGCAAATTTACAACAAGTATGTTGCAATTATGTGGCAAATATGAGTAGATAATAGATATATAGCAAATACAAATCATATATCTATATATATAAACTTGTAATCTCTGTTTGTCTGTCTGATTCGTTGTTCGATAATAACTCAGGAACCCCTGGACCTATTTTTATTTGGAAACTAGGGAAACCCACGGGAATGTTCTTAGCTTGGTTTTGAGATTCTTAGTTGAATTGAATGGGTGGACTTTAATAGTGAACATTTATTATCCCGTAAAATCGTTCAAGTGCGGGTAAACGGCGTGAATAACTTTTAGTGACCTTGGCAGTGCTGGGTTCCAAGCTAGTATAGTGATACAGCAAATATGTAGCTAATAGTTTGTTAATATGCAGTAAATATAAAAATAAAATTATAAATGAAGAAAAAAAGCCACTTTTATTTGAAAATAGTTTTGCAAAATATAAACCTTTTAAAAATTGATCAACTTCAAAGAACATTGTTTTGTCAAACATATATAGATTCATTCATTCATATCTTTATTCAACTACAAAGCATGAGATATTTACTATGCGGTTTGGACCCGCCTAACCAGGGTTGGTTGGTTTGAGTGGTCGGCCCTAAGTTAATTAACGATACTGAATATAATTGGTTACACATATCAAGTTATGTTTGTTGATAGGTAAAGAGTTATCAGGTGATCTGTGGCAGGGTGAGATCAGAGGGATTTTAATGTAGAGAAACATTAAAATACAGGATGTTAAGGATGGTGGATACAGAAACACAATAAGCTAATAAAGTTTCAGTTTTTTTAGTTATTTTTATATAAAGTTTATTCACACGATATACAACTAGGTTTTTCGCATTTAAACCTCTCATAATTCTTAAGATAAATATTAATTATTGATAATATCTCTAATATATCTCTAATGTATCTATCTATCTATTTATCTATCTATCTCTCTATCTATCTATCTATCTATCTATCTATCTATCTATCTATCTATCTATCTTTCTGTCTATGTATTTATCTCTGTATCTATCTATCTATCTATCTATCTATCTATCTATCTATCTATCTATCTATCTATCTATCTATCTATTTATTTATTTTTAGATATGGCTCGATTGCTCCATGACCCCTCTAGAACCGAATCTAAGCTAGAAAACGAGGTAGACAAATCGTGATCGTGATATTTAGATTTTTTTAGGGAAGTACTGCGGGAGAGAGGGGGGACGGCTGGGTGCCTGGGTCCCCACCTTTTACGAAGCCTGCAGTACGCCCCTGATTTCATATTATTTCCAAAAAGAAGCAAAATATTAAAAAATAATTATTTAACTTTTCTTAGAATAATACTATAGCGTGATGACTTCAATTTAAATTCATTAACTTCTTATAGTTTTAAACGAAATAAAGGTATCAATCATAAATTAATTAATTTCTAACTTGTTCCACGATTTAGGAGGAAGAGGAGGAGGCATTGAATTTAGTGAGGGATTCTAGACCAGGTTCTTCACCTCCACCCTCTTCTCCCCATCCCCATCCTCCCTCCTCCCCCCTCCCTCAACCTGCTAATCTACACGCAGCCCTGGCTGCTCTCCAGGCCGGTCATATATCCCTGAGTCAGGTAAAATAATTACCAAAAGGCTCAAAAATGGAAACAATTTCTTTTATGAAAAGCAGATATTGAAAAATATTTATCTCTTGCCCTTAAATATAAATAAATATAGTATGCAACAAATCAGAGAAGTCCATTGGGTATTTCAAAATTTTTGTAAAACTTTTTAAAAATGTTTTCTCCCTTTTTTAGATGATGGCGAACCCTCCTGGTGGATTATGGAACTCTAAACTTCAAACCTCATCAAATTCAGTAATATTAAATTTAACATTAGAGCTGAAACTTTAAGTCTTGGAATTTTCAGATGTGGTCTACAACTTTGTATCTTTAAAATTGACAAAGATATTCTCAATTTTGTTCATTTTCTTAGTTATCAATAGACATATCATTTAATATCTAGTATTTCCGTCAATTTTGAAAATACAAAGATGGTCCATCATTTTCGAGGAGCTATAATTATTACAACATGGGGGAAATCATTAACAATTAGTATTTGAACCGGCCATTCCCGCAAAATATGTGGGCCCTGCACAACCCTGATTTCCCTGATTTAGTTGGTTAAATGACTGTGGCGGCGGTTAATAAAAAAATGCTTTTAGCTTTAAGTTAAGTTTACCTCATTCAGTTTTAGTGTATTTGTCTTGTTTGACAAAAATATTTGTTTTGATATTTTTAGAATAATCCAAATATTATCAAAAGGCTTAATTTATGTTGATTGCATGCAAATAAAGCCATGTTAAGATGCAGTCTTTCGTCAATTTTACTTTTTCAAGCTGAATATATCATTCTTGCTTCAGTTTTCTTCTTATTTTTGTCTACTGCTGTTTTCTAATTTTAGAATAAATACAGTTTAACCCAGAACTTTGGAAACACCGAAAGAATTTATTAATTGTCGTCTGCACAATTTTTCTATGGTATTTACTTGTGATAATTGTATGACAAGGATATTGCCCTTTAAATCTCAGTAATTTCAAAAAATAGGGATGAAATGTGTGTGAACAGTTTTAAAGAGCTCTATTTAACTATTCAATTAACAGAAAATAGAAAATTTGCGCCATTACATTATCAGTAGGGTTAGAAAACGACATTTTATAAATTATTTCAATGTTTCTAAAGTGCATGGTAAAACTGTAGCAAAAGTATATCTGAAAATAAAGTATTCAAAAATTTATATCTTTATTTTAGGAGGTCCAAGCTCTTCAAGCAGCCCTAGCCCAGCACCAGCAGACTATTCAGCAACAGCTTCAAAACTTTCTAATTCTTCAGCAGTCTGGGCTAAACATGGCGCCCATCAACCCGCTTCTTTTCCCGCCAAATCTACGTGGTGCAGTAAAGACGACTTCTCGGTCCAACAGTCCGTTCAGCAACTGTCAGGACAGAATGGGAGACCACCGGATGTCGGTGAGTAGAATATATTTATTTGTAGATATATGATTTCGTAAAGAATCATTAATGAAAGAGACCGTATGAATTCCATCCATGAAGTCTCATCTTTTGTGGCTAACCCTGCCTGTAAATACAACCGAAAATTAAGGTTCTTAAAAAAATGTATATAATATTATCTATATTTGATGAAAACGAACAGAAAAAAGACTAATTTTGAAAAAAAAAAATAATAAATATATTCAGGAAATGGGAGGATTTCCGTCAATAAAGAACGAACCGATGTTTTTTCACAGATCAGTTTCCCCACCACCTAGATCTAGGATGGGGTTTCAGCAATCCCTTCAGGTAGCCATGGAGAAGAATAGGGAGGGTCAAGGATACTAGTTAAGGAGACGAATAGGGAGGGTAAAGCATACTAGTCAAGGAAAAGAAAAGGGAGGGTCAAGTATACTAGTAAGGAAAAGAATAAGGAGGGTTAAGGATACTGATCAAGGAGAAGTATAGGAAGGATCAGTATATACTAGAAAATGAGAAGAATAGGGAGGGTCCAGTATACTAGTCAAGGAAAAGAATAGGGAGGATCAAGGATACTGGTCAAAGTTTAAGTAGGGTCAAGTATATACACGTCAAGGAGAAGTATAAGGAAAGTCAAAAATACAAGTCATGGAGAAGAATTGGGAAAGTCAAGGAGAAGAATTGGGGGGGTCAAGGAAACTAGTCAAGGAGAAGAATAGGGGAGGGTAGAGTATACTAGTCAAAGAGAAGTTTAAGTAAGGTCAAGCATACTAGTCAAGGAGAAGTATAGGGAGAGTCAAATATACTATTCAAGGAGAAGAATATATGGGAGTGTCCAGGATACTGGTCAAGGAGAAGTATAGGAAGGATCAAGTTTATACTAGGCAATGAGAAGAATAGGGAGGATCAAGTATACACGTCAAGGAGAAGTATAAGGAAAGTCAAGTATACTAGTCAAGGAGAAGAATTGGGAGAGTCATGGAGAAGAATTGGGAGGGTCAAGGAAACTAGTCAAGGAGAAGAATAGGGAGGGTCGAGTATACTAGTCAAAGAGAAGTTTAAGTAAGGTCCAGGATATTGGTCAAGGAGAAGTATAGGAAGGATAAAGAATAGTATAGTCAATGAAAATAATAGGGATTGTCAAGGAAACTAGTCAAGGAGAATAATAGGAAAGGTCAAGGATAATAGTCAAGGAGAAGAATAGGGAGTGTCAAGGATACTATTTGAGGAGAAAAATAGGGAGGATCAAGCATCCTAGTCAAGAAATAGTGTTATGTATCACAAATTAAAAAAAATTAAATTGAATGTTACATATTTTACTAGGGTTTACACCGGCCACAGTTACCACAACAGGGACGTTTTCTACCTTTACCACAACCTTCGGTAATATTTCTACCTTTACCACAACCTTCGGTAATATTTCTACTTTTACCACAACCTTGGGTAATATTTCTACCTTTACCACAACCTTGGGTAATATTTCTACCTTTACCACAACCTTCGGTAATATTTCTACCTTTACCACAACCTTCAGTAATATTTCTACTTTTACCACAACCTTGGGTAATATTTCTACCTTTACCACAACCTTCAGTAATATTTTTTTACCACAACCTTAAACATTAAAAAATAAGACTTATTATGAATGCAGAGCTGTTCTGACTAAATATTTAGAATTTTAATCCATAATTTTGTCTCGGAAAATAATTCAAATATTGAAAATTTCCCGGAATTTAAATATGGTAAACAAAAGCAGTATCAATAATGTATATTTCTGATGCCAAGCACCAGATAAATATGAAAATTGAATTGAAACTTCAGAGTCTGCGGATGAAACAAAGTACACCAAAAAGCAGTTTCAAAAGAAAAGCTTATAAATTAACAATTAAATTGCAAAAAATAATGCTTTAAAAGTTTAAGTGCATAAATAATAGAAAACAAGTTTTCCAGGGTTTTTAGAGAAAAAAGAAGATATAAAATTGTTTAAAACATATTCTATGGCTATGGATGATTTAGAAAAAACTTTATTTGTGATACTACTTTTATAAAACATCTTTTTGTTAGTATCAGGGAATGTCGGGTGCCAGTCAGCAGCTCCAGCATCTGCAAAAGCAGCATTCAGAAAGGGAAGGCAGGATGCTCACTAAAGCAGCATTGACTATGCCTCAGGTAAGATCTCTATAAAAAAGGTTTTTTTTAAATGTCAAAATTAATCATTGATTTTGCTTTTTATCTCCTTCGGCTGCATGTTCAATTTACTTTGCAAATATATAAAAATGATGATTATGATTGAATTATTGATTTGAACTATTATCACAAGTGTTAATTTTCTGAAATGTTAATATTTTGACCGTTAGATGTCTCTGAACAGTCATAATCTTCATCTGAACGGATCCTATAGACCTGGTTATCATCAGGTATTAGAACAACTGTCGGCCATTTTGAATAATTGTTGCTAGCGTAATGTTGCCCCGAATAATTCTCAAAATGAAATTGGGTCGTCTTCGACATTATTTTTCTAATTGTTTGCGCAATAAATAATGGTACAGAAGGAGAACATGTTCCTAAAAGTTTTTTTTGTACATTTGGACAAAAAATATTTATTGTAAACTAGAAAAAGAAAAAAACATCAGAATATAAGTTTGTACGTTTTGTGCACTTACTTTGAATTTGTTTGTACTTAACTAAATATATCCAAGTTCAACTCCTTCAGAATACTTCAATGACTCTCCTATTAGGAAATCTTTGATTTATTATCATTAAAAATTAAAGTTTAAACATTAAAAATGTTATATTTAGATGCACGCTGAATTTAATATTATTTTGTTTCAAAGTCTAACATTTATATTTAGATTAAGATTTTTAATTTTCAACAATGACGTAATTTTATCCAACCTTCATCATTCATAACAATTTAAATCTAAATTTAGAATTATGCGAATAAAAATTGATACTTTTTTAAGCTAAATTTTGTAGTATATTATAGCAATAATTACTTTTGTAAAAATTGGATCTTTGAACTGTTTTTGATTAAAGGTGATGCAAAATTGTGAAAATAATAGTTCTTTTTCTGGAATATTAAACTGAAGAAAATTTAACTTGTTTAAATAATTCAGTCTCTTAAAAAGAAGCAATCACTAAATCTTTAAACTTTTTTCGGATTATTTTTTTTTTCAATAAATTTAAATATTTTTTTGAAAGTTGAAATAAAACTTCTTTATTCTATTTTGCTTCATAAACTAAAGATAATACAGGGTTAGCCACCAAGTATGAGAATATTTTTACAACATGCTAAGTTTCCTTCTACTGTAAACTTGTTTCTTTTTATGCAAAATTATCGAATAACAATACAATTTAAACAAGAAGATCCAGTAGATTTTTTTTACGGCGACAACCAAAATGTTTTTCTATTTTTTACATATTTTTACTAGAATTGTATCTAAGAAATCCAAATTAACCTTAAAATCGTCATATATAAATAGAGATATTGGTTTTCATAAAAGTCTCATTCTTTTTTGGTAACGCTTAATGTGAAATTGTGATAAATCTAAAGGGTTTTAGTTTATTTTTTTACGGCGACAACGAAAATGTTTTTCATTTACATTTACAGTATTTATCATGAAACTTTATTACTGAAAGTAAGATTGAAGACGACAATTAATCCACCATGTTTTTTAAATCTAAATTCAGCATATAAGATTGAAATTGCGTTAATATGAAATCAAATAGTTCTTAGAAATTTGCTCTGAACGTTTCAAGGCAAAACACCTTTTATACAAATAATAAAACTGAATGAAACTTAAAAGTAAAAGAGATATTGGAATAGATAATCATTCCACTATTTTCCAAAGATATCAACGCCCGAACAACAAGGGATCCCTTAAAAGCTTTGTCTGCTCTAGAATAAATTAGATTTTAATGTTTATAGTTTTAAAAACTGATTATTTTTAACTGTGGTTTCTCATGAAAATTGACTTATGCATTTCAACTGCAAGAATTTGCAGAAACAAATTATTATTCAGAAAAAGGTTTCAAGGGTACCGTTGTAAATCGTCGCACAAAGGGTTAATTGAAATTATGCGTACAATGTTTAAAATTGAAAATGTTTAAGGTGTCCGTCCCACGACTGGAAATGCCTGCCGAGGAGAGTACTGATCTAGAGGAACTTGAGCAGTTTGCTAAAATGTTCAAACAGAAAAGAATAAAATTAGGTAGAATAATTGATCAATAATATAGATAAACTTGTGCAAATGTTAAACAGTTTTTTAGTTAAAAACTAACACAAATTAACAATGTTTGTTTAACAAAAACACTAACGATGAAAATGTAAAACAAAATAAAAACACTCAAGAATAAATAAGCGTTATTTTCCAATTTAAACCAACTAACAAAATCATGAAAATCATGAGAATGTTTATAGTTTGACACAAAAACATAAACTTGCCTTGCACTCTCCGCACTGCGAACTATGCAGACATAGGGAGAAGGTCAAATTAATGCGAGCTTACTTGTATAACTTTGTGACCTCGTAACTCGCCTAGTTTCGATTGTAGGGGCATGCATGAGAAAAGCAAATCTATCCAGTAACATATTGGAAAATCAAAAAAATGTAAACATAAAAGAGATGTCCAGCCTGACATGGGATCCATCTTTCACATAAAAAATCAATGAAATATTCTGGTCAAAGGAAACTATTATGTGAATTATCAATTATCAAAATTTAATGCTTTTTACCTTTTCGGATACTAAACGAACACTGATGCATTTATTCTTGTTTACAAATTCCGCCCAGAGAGAACTGGTTTCAATATTTACTTAGAGTATACACAACTGCACTTAACTTTCCTTGCATTATAACCTTGGGTTGAATTTACTTTAGTTTTACATACGCGTACGATGAAACTCATCATTTTTTTCTTTTATTGTACAGTTGTACTGCAGATCACTGAAATACGCACCAAAAGCTTAGTTTATGATTCGCATAGGGTATATTCCTTGTATACGAACTGTGCGCTTGTAAACGCATTTTAGTGTGACATATTAATATTTCTATAAACTAATCTATATATAAATTTGGCTTGTCTGTCCGTTTGTCTGTTTGTCTGTTTGTTTGTATCCAATAAACGTCAAAACGGCTGAACCGATCGGGCCCAAATTTGTTGTGGGACCTCACGTGACCCCAGGGAAGGTTTATGAATGATCAAAATTTTAAAAATTTGTATTTTTAAAAAAATTTGAAGATGCACAAAAAAATATTATGAAATCCACAAACTTTTTTGTTTCTGTTTTATACTGTACAAAGAGAAGATGTTCAGAGATAAAGCCACAATTAAAAGTTGAAATAGAAGATAGGCGCGAAGCGCCCTAAAAGCCTAGTTTATATAAACAATTGTAATGAACGGAATGAAGAATGACAAACAAATTCTGATTTATCCTATGACGTCACAGTTAAATAAATAAAAATGCACATTTTCATAGCAACCTGGATCTATGTGATCTTCTCCTTAGTTCTAAAACATTGTGTTTGTTTATGTTCAGGGTATACACAGGGTGATGTAGGACTAGCAATGGGTAAACTTTACGGAAATGATTTCTCCCAGACAACCATCTCCAGGTTCGAGGCTCTCAACCTCTCCTTCAAGAACATGTGCAAGCTGAAGCCTCTGCTCTCGAAGTGGCTCGAGGTTGGTTTTATTTTTGCATTTAGGGAAGATTTGCTACTTTTTAAATCAGATAATCATAATAAAAATATTCTATACATTTATTTTTATCCATTTTAACTCACTCTAAAATTGCATGATCAGAGCCGGTACCACATGTTAGTAGTGTATATGTATTCAGTCGTACTGTCAAGTCTGTACTACCCAGTGCAGAGTCAACCCAGCACGTGTTATGCCACATATCTTGCCTAATGGCAAGATCACAGTGATATTTGTTTATCTATGAATTTAGAAAATTGCTTTCGGATTTCGATTTTCTTAATTTGTGGTGCATTAAAGACCCCCGTTTGTTTTACCACTTATTAAAGTGAAACGACCCACACACCCCCCCCCACCTCACCTTCAATGAATGATTTTGTTAAATAAGATTAACCTTATAACCACTTCGATTATCTTGTAACATATATCCATCCATCTATCTATCTACCTTTTTATATTTGTATCAAAATAAATACAATTCTTCTGCTAGATTAGGTTAAATTAAGGTTAATCAATGTAAAGGGGAAAATTTTAAATAGATTAAGGCATCGGATATTTTGGTTTAATTTAGCCAAATAAATACTTTCTTTGCTTTGCTTTTTTCCCCTGTTCTTTAAATTTCTCTTTTCCCTTTGTTTTCTCTGAAGTAAAAGCACAAAAGTAAAAATAATGGTGAAAAAGGTAAGGGAAGAGGAGAAGAAGGTAGGAGAAGAGGTGAAAGGTAGGGGAAGAGGTGAAGAAGGTAGGGGAAGAGGTGAAGAAGGTAGGGGAAGAGGTGAAGAAGGTAGGGGAAGAGGTGAAAGTAGGGGAAGAGGTGAAAGGTAGGAGAAGAGAAGAAGGTAGGGGAAGAGGTGAAAGGTAGGGGAAGAGGTGAAAGGTAGGGGAAGAGGTGAAAGTAGGGGAAGAGGTGAAGAAGGTAGGGGAAGAGGTGAAAGGTAGAGTAAGAGGTGAAGGGTAAGGGAAGGGTGGAAGGAAAAGGAATTGTGGAAGGTAGGGGAAGAGAGATGAAGAGAATGGAAGCAAGAGGGGTTACAGAAGGAAGAGGAAAGGGGAAGGACTGGAATGGAGTGGAAGAGAGAAAGGTGTAAAGCATTAGGAGGGGTGGAGGGGAGTAAAGGGGAAGGGTAGAAAACGTGTATAATGAAGGGGGGTTATAGTGGAGGGAAAAGGGGTAGAAGGGAGGGTAAGGGTTTGTATTATTGTTGAATATATTTCGAGGCTGATGTTTACTGGATTTGGCCTCTCTCTACCTTCTCCCCCTCCCCCTTTCGGCCCCGAGGCCGCATTGAAATTCATAAAATTTGAATATAAAGGAGGAGAGCCGCCATTGGTCGGAAGTGAATATAAAGGGGGAAAGGAGGAGTCAGAAATACAACTGAAAAGAATATGATATACAGCGGCAAATAATCATCATTTTTAAAATCATTTTTTAAAAATCTAAACATTTTGAAGTTTGATTTTTTGAATATTTTAAACGGTTGAATGCTTTAACAAATCTAAATCAGTTGGTAACTATATGGATGGAGTTCTACCTTCGGTTACAATCTTTATTACAATTTTTCTATGTGACTCATTTTTACCATAGATTTGATTTTAAGTGACCCTCCATTTATAAAGTGGCATATCTCATTTAGAAATGTATTCTATAAATCTGCATCTAATCATATATCTCGGAACTATCCTCATTTAATACCTAAACAATCAATTAACAGCAAAAATGAGATTCGGATATTCCACTCCACAAATAAAGATTCAGTTGAAAGTAAGCATACATTCCCTGTAAATTGTCCAAATGTGTTGAACAGATTCTGTCCAGGGGGCGGAAACGTTGTGTATGTGTGTCTGTACCAAAAGAGTGTGTGTAAGTAATAACTAACCAAAGGCGTGTGCTGTATGTAGTAAAAACAGTACATACGAATCTCGGTATTTGTACAGTCTAGGAGAGTACATTTGTTTATTGTTAATTGTTTACTTTAAAATAAGTTTAACATACATGTAGTATATTATTTATATATTTAAGTCAACACTATAAGCCAAATAGTCATAATTAATTAAAGTTTGCAATAAACTACTCGTTATTCAAGCTTAATTATAATTGTCGACATTGTTCTGCAATGTCTTTGACTATAGTCATGTTGTGTGTCTGTACCTAAAGAGTGTGCGAGTGTAATGACGAACTCGTCTGCAAAGCAGTGCGACTGGCTTTCTCATGCCAGACCAGTGCCATTTCCCTTCCCTTTATTCTTATTCTCTGATTCTGTCCCCCTTTTCTCAAATATCACTGTAGTTCTGCCCTCATAATTCTCTTGCATTAAACGCGCTGGGTCAACTTGTACTGGTTCAGATCCTGCAATTTTTTAACTACTCTCATTGATATTTGTTTAGGTTGTATCAGCCCAGGATACAGGATCTAATATAGGGGCTCCAAGTGTATACTGCTCCAACATTAACTCAGCTGACGCAATAGGAACATAACAATTAATCAATTAATCAATAGCAATCAAATAAGCAGTTAAGCAATCAAAATCGATGACAATAAATAAATCAATGAAACTCAAATGATCAATGAAATAAATAAATCAATTAATAGCAATAAATAAATATATCAATAAATAAACAATATCGATCAATAAATCTATTTTTATCAATCAAAATAATTATAATCAATGATTCAATAGTAATCAATGAATCAAACATGATCGATAAAGCAATTACAATCAATGAATCAAAAGATTGATGACAATAAATATATCAATATCACTCAAAAGTTCAATGAAATTAATAAATCAATATAATCTATTAATCAATAACAATCAAAAAATCAATTATAAAATATAAAGCAATTACAATGTATCATTAATGTTCAAAAGTTCAATGAAATAAATTTAATCAATAATCCAACTGCAATAAATCAATAACACTTAAAAAATCAATTAAATCAATACATCAATAACAATAAATTAATCAATAGCAATTAATATCAATTTCAATATCGATCAATAAAACTTTGGTTCATTAAACATACCAGTCTGACTTTTAGTCAGTACCAGAGCAAATTGTACTGCATGCAGACTAAAGACCCCATAAGGAGAAAGTACACCAAATAATCCTCTCCTTCTTCGAAAAATTATTGTTTCACTAAAAACTTCAATGAAAATAACTAATCAATGTAAATCAATAAACAAACTTAATTCTTCTCATCAAGCCTTTCTTTTTACACGCCAAAAAATGTGTTACTCTTAAAAGTTCCAAATTAATTGAAATTAATTTTGCCAAAAATTGTTTGCATTTTCCCAGGGAGGCGACGTAAAAAACGTACAAGCATAGAAAGCACAGTAAGAATTGCTCTAGAACGCGCTTTTAGTCAGGTACAAAATTGTTGTACGCATCAGTAGGGCTTCTTTGTACCTTTTATTATTAAGGTTTAGTTAAATAAACACAGCGAATATACTCATCAATTATTCATTCATTTGTTTATGGAATTCTTTGTTAAATTTTTAAACTTTCAGTGGTTACAAGAACTTTGACTGGCTCTAAATTCTAAGTCCATGTTTGGTTTCTATATTATTACTTCATACAAATGCTAGTAAATGGTATAAATACAAAGGCATTTATTAAATAGAAGATTCCATTAATGAATGAAGGTGATAAAGTTGTCATCATATAAATAATAATATTTGTAGAATCCTAAACCAACGAGTGAGGAAATCCAGTATGTGTCGGACAGTCTAAACATGGAGAAGGAAGTTATCAGGGTCTGGTTCTGTAACAGGTATTCATTGGGGTAAGCCATCTGAGTGTTGAAGAAGGAAAGCATGACCAAGCTATATCTTGTTGTTTTATCATCAATAGATTACATTTTATGTAACCCAAATAGGTATTCACTTCAGGCTTTACTTCTTCAAACTCTGATTTATCCTCAATGTTAGACAGTTTAACTTATTTCTACTTAATAAATGCAGTTGATTATTTCTTAAAATAAAGAACCCTTTAGTGGAAAAATGTTTAATTAAAAGTGGTTTTATTATGAAGAGAGCCAATGCTTATAAATCTCATTTTTTTTGTTGTAATATATATTAAAATGCAGGAAAAATTTTTTACTTTAGGCGAGCTATCTACAGAAGACAGAAGGAGAAAAGAATGAATCCAAATCAAGGAATGTCATCCTCATCTCCCAGCTGTAAGTTTTACATTTTTATAGCTATCACTAAATATATCAACTGCTTTTGATTCTTTAACCAATATATACAGAATTTCTCCTGAAAACCTTTTATTTTTATGTGAAAGATATAAATTTCACAAATCTTGTTACTTAGAGCACAAAATGAAAAAAACTTTAAAAAATTTGTAACATCCATACGAGTTCTTTACTGCATTAGATTATAAATCTGAAATCTCATATCTTCTTTAGACATATTTCTACAAAATCATCATATTTCAACATTTCAAATGTTTTATCACAGAGGAACCAGGTCGAGAAGGGGGTGGTAATCTTTCTTGAAAATATTTACCCTTGGTACAGAATGAGACTGGATCAGGGACTAGAATCAATTAAAACAAGACATAGTCTAACCTTGGAGAAATAATTGAACCACTTCTCTTCATCTCGTCTTGCTGCATAAGAGAAATGGTTGATCGGCAGAATGTGGTTTCATGTATTTCTTGCTATTCTTGAAATCTAGTCCCAGAATGAATATATCAAAAATTCAATCTTTAGCTGAAAGATTCCGTGCTCTTCAGTGTTCCAAGATAATAAGAATTCTGCTGGCATAAGATCTCTTCAACTTTGCCTTCACATTCAAAATGCTAAAATATCCTGGAGAATTTCTTAATCTGACTTTCATCTTATGACAAATCAAATTACCCGGACCCATCTTCCTCTTTCCTCTCAACCACACAAGGGAATTTCAGTCAAAAGTATTTCGCTAGATAAGGGTAGGCAAAATAAATAAAAAATATCTAGCAAGGAGCATATGAAAAGCTTAAATGGATCTAAATTTGAAATTAAAGATGAATCATTACTTGCATTTTTCCAGTCTAGTCTTACAGAAAGAATTATCATGACAAGTCTCACTACTTTTGGCCTATGTAGAAACTTTTGATTTTATGTTTTAGAACCTGAATATCAAGATGGAAATATCTATTGGAGTATTTTTTTTTTATAGAACTCTTTTAAACATATTTACTAAGTATGGCTGTAGGAACTACCTTTTAGTGCACTAAAATTGAAGTTCAAATACCTTATGCAATTTATTAATTTTGACCTAAAGTATGATAATTTTTCTAAATTCTTCATACTATAATCATGGAAAAACTGTGTGAATATCTAGTTATCTTTTATTTGTTCCAGGTTCCCCGCCAGCATTGATGTCTAATCTATACTCCTCCTCTCCTCTGGGCTCGATAACTCCACCAGGATCAAAAGCTCCATCATTCAGTAACTCCCCAACACCACCCGGCATACCCTCCCCATCTCTTCCCTCACCAATGTCTAGCGCACATTATCAGAGTTTCATGCCGTCACCCCTTTACTCAAATCCAATGAACCCAACTACCATGCACATGTCAATGCCTAAATTTGATATGGGGGGACACTTTCCTAAACCTGATCATAAATACGATATGGGATCAGTGCCAAAGTTTGAAATGGAAATGCAAAAATACGACATGGGCTGCGTACCAAAGTTTGAACCCAAATTTGAACCAAAATATGAACCAAACCTTTCAATGCAGTCAGTTCAGCAAAATTCTGCTTTGAGACTTTCTATAGGGGGTCAGCAGCATCAAGCCTAATGTGTGAAGTGAACTTGACTACCGTACCATGATTTTTATGTACTGTAGTAAAATTTAACTATGTAAATACAAAGAAGCATTAGGATCAATACATCGGAAAATACGATCCATTATAATATTCACTTAAAGCAAGAAAACGTTTGTTAAACTTGCTTTTATTGTTAGTTTAACTTTCCGTGGAGATCTCCACATGGTACTTTGATGCGAAAAGAAGGTAAAGTTGCCGCTAAACTTTGTGTGTGTAAAGAAGGAAAAGTTGCCGCTAAACTTTGTCTGCGCAAAGAAGCAAAAGTTGTCACTGAACTTTGTGTGCACAAAATGATCTCAATAATCTGAACAATATCAGTATTAAATCCGAACCTTTATAAATAACCTGGTGAATGTTCATTTGATGAACAAAATTGACATTTTTATATTGTACCATTAGACAAAATATTGTCATTAAATGTCCTAGTTTGTATGTAGAAATGTCTTCTGTATCGGCGCAGTGTGCGTTTTTGTTCTTTTTTTCCAGATCAGTGTCAGTTCTTATAATTGCTTTATGTGATATGTAACGAAATGAAAAATGAATTGTGTTGAGGGGATAAACCAATGTATTTCATTAGATTAAATCCAACTATATCCTGGTGTTTTCATCTTGAAAAACAAACCTGAGCTTGAAATGACATTTAATGTCTTGAATTCTTCTGAGTAACCTTTCGGCCATCTTTTTAAATCAAGTCTTCAGACTTTAAATCTTTTTTCCAATGTACTTAAATGTATCTTAATATTCTTTTAAAAAGAATCACTATTTGACAAAATAATATTTTATAGAGTGTATTTGAAAAATTTTGATGTACATATATCAATCCTCAAAAATAATTGTGTTTAACATTTTTTAATTTTATTCGTTATTCTGGTAAATAATGCTTCAAATTAGTTTGTCAACATATTACAAAAAAGTCAGACAGTCCCCTTTCTAGTCATTTTATTAACTTATTCAAAAAAGTAATGCAATAAACAAATCCGAAAATAAAAGTTAACATCAAAATTGTAGAGGCTGGCTGACTGCTAACTGTATAGATTAGAGTTTCTTGAAATTTTGTTAAATTATTATTCATATATTCGTTAAATATATCAATAGACTGTGATCTGTCCTTCCTTGTTTATCATCTTCTAAAATTATTTGACATTTTTAATTCTAATTCAAAATTAGAAAATTATTATCATTAAAATTTTAGATTTTAATAATAAATTTTAATATTTTACTTTTGAAAATTTGTCTAATTTTCAAATATTAACATGAAATTAAAATAATTTTGGATAAATTTCAGTTCCTTTTAACCTACATACAGAATTCTTTCTACGAGGATGGGAAAGCATTCCTCCCTGGCTTATTCAGGAGAGGGGTAGCAGCCCCCCCCCTCCCCCTGGGCTAAATTTAGAAGATGATAGACTAGATGGCACTAAAACCCCCCAATCAAATTCACTCAGGAGAATCTAATATTATCATAAAACTTTGATTGGTTGGTTTTCAACAGTTTCAACAGTCCTTTCTTCCTTCTTTCCTTTATTATTATTCCCTCTTTTCCTACTTTCTTTAATCCTTTCAATCCCCTCCCCCTTCCTTTCTAATCTTTATTTTTCCCCTCCTACTTCTTTAACCTTTCCTCCTTTTCTTTCATTCTCCTTCTCTCATTTTTTATTTTTTTCCATTTCTTTTTTTCCTCCATTCTTCTTCATCGTTTCTTTCTTTGTGCAAATATGTCTCAATTTTATTTTACTCGTTAATCCTGTAATTGTTAATCTTCATTTGTTCTTAAGTCTTTTATAATCCTCAATCCTCTTTTTATTAAATTATTTCTAATGAATGATCAACTAGGATGTTTCAGTGTTTTAATTCTGTAATTATAAAATTTTAATAAAGGTTATGTGAAAACCAAAGTTGGTTAAAAGTTATGATTTCTGTTCAAAGTTAGAAAAGTTACTGGACCCCTTTCTATGCGGAAATTTTCAAACCCTAGATATTCTGGGATGGTCCAAATCCTTTATCACTGTGATCCAAAGGTTGTCAGCTTTCATGCAAAAAATCGACAACAATATTGCGAGTTACTTAAAAAATTAAAGCTTTTAACAAGTGCTGTATAGTTCTAAAATTCAAATGTTTAGAGCTACAAAAATTTATACGTGAAAAAGTAAGGTTCCATCAAAGGCTAAGGCATTGCTTCACCTCAAAGTATACCCAGTCTTAAAAATTGATGCAACTGTTCATGGCGGGCAAGAATTATGTGGTTTTAATCCTAAATAAGTCATAAAATGTTGCATTCAGGCAGTAGACCTGAGGCCTCACGCATTTTTTTCATGTCCATTACTTGATGGGCATAAAAAAATTTAATTGTTTAATTTTAATATTGAATTGATCAAAATAATTTTGATTCTGAATTTTTTAAAATCAAAGGCATTTAAGAAGTCTAAACTCGATTTCTTATTTAAAATTTAATAGATATTGGTTAAAAAAAAAACTATTGAACCAAAATAGCTCTTTTTATGCTTTACAGTACACACCAGCTATTCGGAACCGACTCAACCACATTAATTTTTACAAAACTTCAAAGACCTTTTTATTTAAACCATTAAACCTTCTCCAGTAGGCTTTTTTTTAACGAAAATAGTGATTTATTGATTGATATTCTGTGTACCAGTAAACTGTCCTTTTAAAAGATTAGTGGATAGATAGATAGCTTGTTAATTGGACCCTCAATAGTATTCATTAACGGACATTGGTCTTTAATTAATCAACACTAATTACTTCTCAATACAGAGAATAGAAGATAGTCATTTACAGAGAGATAAATACAGTACCTAAAGTACGAAGATGGGGGCGGGGATGTACCATTTGTTGTTTACAAATCTAGGGGTCAGGGGGGGGGGTATTTTCTTTGATTTTATCCAAAAAATGTTAAAATATTCTTTTTCTATAATTTTAAGAAAGAAATTGATCTTTGCCACAAACTCTAATTGTCCACTATCTTTATCATTGCAACCCGATTTTGTAGACCTTAGATATTTCAAACGATGAATTTTGTCATACCAATTGTTCTAGCTAAGTTTAAAATATCAAAGGTTTATATAGTTTGAGGCATAGACTTAATTCATTTGTAGTTAATAGGTTAGAAACAGAGAAGAAAGAAGAAAGGATGAAAAAAAAAGTCGAAAGAAAATCAGGAGAGAAGAGTGAAGGAAAAGTGAAAACGCGAAAGAAAGAAAGGAAAAGAAAGTGAAAGTGAAATAAAAGATTGAAAAGGAAACTAACTAAGAGAAGAAATAGACAACGTTGAGAATGGGAGGATGATGAGGAAAGTGACAAGGGAGTGAAAGAAAAAATCGAAAGAGGAGCGAAAAGGGAAGGAAAAATGGAAAGATTGAGAAAAGAAAGGAAAGGAAAGGAAATGGAAAAGTGAAGAAAGAAAGAATAGAGAAAGGAAAGGAAGCGATGAGGAGGAAACTAAAGAATTACGAGGAAATTGAAGAGGAAAGTAAACAGGAAAGTGAATAGGAAAGTATAGAGGAAAGTGAAGAAATAAAGTGAAGAGGAAAGTGAAGTGGAAAGTGAAGGTAAAGTGAAGAGGAAAGTGAAGAGGAAAGTGAAGAGGAAAGTGAAGGTAAAGTGAAGAGGAAAGTGAAGAGGAAAGTGAAGATGGAAGTGAAGAGGAAAGTGAAAAAATAAAGTGAAGAGGAAAGTGAAGTGAAGTGGAAAGTGAAGGTAAAGTGAAGAGGAAAGTGAACAGGAAAGTGAAGAGGAAAGTGAAGAGGAAAGTGAAGAGGAAAGTGAAGAGGAAAGTGAAGGTAAAGTAAACAGGGAAAGTGAATCGGAAAGTGAAGAAGAAAGTGAAGAGTAAAGTAATAAGGAAAGTGAAGAGGAAAGTGAAGAGGAAAGTAAAGAGGAAAGTGAAGAGGAAAGTGAATAGGAAAGTGAAGAGGAAAGTGAAGAGGAAAGTGAAGAGGAAAGTGAAGAGGAAAGTGAAGAGGAAAGTGAGAGGAAAGTGAAGAGGAAAGTGTAGAGGAAAGTGAAGGTAAAGTGAAGAGGAAAGTGAAGAGGAAAGTGTAGAGGAAAGTGAAGAGGAAAGTGAAGAGGAAAATAAAGAGGAAATTGTAGAGGAAAGTGAAGGTAAAGTGAAGAGGAAAGTGAAGAGGAAAGTGTAGAGGAAAGTGAAGGTAAAGTGAAGAGTGAAGAGGGTGGAGGGTTAAACCTAACACTGCTCAATATTCCTTAAATTTCTAACAAAAAGAAAATTATACCTAATTTCCATCAAAGTACTCTTCTCTGTTCTAGAGACAAGAGAGTAGGATCCCTGCTGCTTGACAGGGTGATCTAAAAAAAATTGAATTAAAAAATTCTCAAAAAAAATTATAAAGTATAAATAAGGTTTTGAATTTCTTTTCATTTCATTTAATACAAATTTCGTTAGCACAAATTTGTTTTTAACACCTTCCGATTCTTGAGTACTTGAAGGGCAGTTCGGAAATGGTGAGATTCGATTTTCTGGGAAAAGGGGGGAAAGGGTGTACGTATATGCATTTGGGAAAAGGGGCTCAGAGCCGGAGAAAGGATAAAGATTGGGTGGGGAAAATACATGTGTAGTAATAGATGTCAATGATAATGTTACATAACGTATAATGTACGTTTAGGAAACATTTGGATATATTCTATATAACGTGAACGTTTAAAGTTAACTTTATAGGAGCTTTCACCTAACGTTAACGTTAGACGTTAACATAATAGGAACATACACCTTACGTTTTCGTTTTATGGTAACGTAATGTTATTATTTTATTATATGCAATATGTTTGACCATAACGTAAAGAACGCTTTGTTTCAAAGAGGAACTTGAAAGTCTAACGTTTCAAAAATCAAATGTGATGTAATTGCATATCGCAACGAAAGGATTTCTATTTCAAAGTTCAGGTTTTAAAAAGTGTGACGTTGTAGAACTGAAAATTCATTTCTGTTCATGAAAAGTTCTGAAACGTTTTTCCTAATATTAAAATGAAAAGTTCAACGTTTCAGAAATGGTCTATTGATAAGTTAATTAGGAAACGAAAGTTTTATATTCAGAGAGCATAAATTTCAATAGTGTAACGTATAACATTTAAAAGATGTTATTATGTAAATCAAAACGTTTCCTACTTCATTTTTAAAGTGTAAACTAAAAAACCTGATAATGAATATGAATTAATTGACTTGTTAAAAATAAGCAGGTGTATAAAGATTTCAAACGGCCTATTTTTTTAATGAACATCAGAAAACGAATTTTTCGTGACAAGCTAATGATGAAAATTCAAATTTTTAAATGTTTCTGGGACATTTAAGAT